CAGGCTGTCAGCACAGAGCACGATGTGGGGCTCGAACTCACAGACCACGAGATCATGACCTGAGCTAAAGTTGGACACTTAACCGACTGAGCCACCCAGGCGCCCCAGTCTTATCTCTATTTTAAATTTTTCGTGGCTGCCCCAGAGTTTACAGTATATAACTTCAATAAATAAGTCTACCTTCAAATATTATTATACTACTTCATGGAGAGTATAAAAACCTGAAAATACTATACTCCCAATTCTTCCCTTCCCCACTCTTCACATTCTTCACACATTTTACTTTATGCATGTTATAAACCCCAAAACACTGCTATTTTTGCATTAGAAAATCAACTGTCTTTTATAGTAATTAAAAATAAGAAAAAATGTCTTCATAGTATCTTCAACCATTTCTGGAGATCTCATTTTTTGTGTGTGTAGAGCCACATTTCTGTCTGGTATCATTTTTCTTCCACTGAAGAAATTCTTTTAACATTTCTTAAAATGTAGGACTGGTGGTAATGAATTGTCTTAGTTTTTTGTCAAAGAGTCTCTTAGCACGTCAGTTCAGGTAATTTCTATTGATCTATATTCAAGTTCACTTATTCTTTTCTCAGCTGTGTCAAATCTACTGGAGTGTCCGTCAAAGGCACTTTCATCTCTCTTACCATGTTCTTTATTTGTAGCATATCCATTAGACTGTTTCTTACAGTTTCCATTTCACAGCTGAAATTTACCATCTATCCATACTGGTTATCCACCTTTCAATAAAAGCCCGAAGCCCATTAATCATAGTTATTTTAAATTCTCTCTCTGGTATTCCCAACATCTGAGTCACTACTGAGTTTTTTTCCTCTTTTGAGTTAAATTCTTCTCTTGACATTTTGTTGGTGGTGGTGGGAGGGGAAGGGATAACAATGGGTCTTTGTTTTGTTTTTGCTTTTCTTTGTTTCAAAAATTTTGACTGAAGGCTCAACATCGTGCAACAGAGAACATGAGACAACAGAGAAAGAAAAGGACATGCCTCTTCTACTGTTAATTTGGGGGCTGAGTCAATACAATCAGGAACTAAGCTGGTTTGGGGTTTTGTTGCTTCCATTTTGTTGCTACCTTCAACTTCAAAATTCTTCAAATTTCCTCTAACTTCTCCTTTTTGGAGGTGGTGATGGTGGAGATGATTTGCTGGATGCTTTTGCTCCATGAACTTGTTCCACCCTCAGATTTAGGGAACAAGTTCTGCCCTATGAACCTGCACCTAAGTAAGAGTGACTCACTATGCTCTTGCCTCTCCTCAAGTGGTACACTAATGTGGCTTTCTATCCTGGTTGGGGAGGAGAGCTGAGTTTCTCTTTTATATCATTTGAGCTAAGCAGTCCCTGTGCCCTGAGGTATCAGGGTAGGGCTTTCTCTCAGTGATACTGTCCCTCCCCTAGGGACAGGAGGTTTCTAATAGTCCAGGGCCAACACTGTTTCTGCCTCACCCGCAAGTGTAATAATGTTTTCTTTTTCTTCTTCCAATCCTTCACTTCTGTCCTAGAAACCATAGGGCTTGCAGCTCTTCCTCCAGAGGCTTAGTGCTTTTGTTCTTAGAGAAGAGTTATGCTTTCTAGCAACAGCATCCATTCCCCTTCCTCCAGACCTATACAACCACAGGAGGCTTTCTACATTTTCTACCCTGTCTCCAATCTTTCTTGTGAATATCCATTGTAGGTCCACACAGAGTAAACTGCAAGGAGGTGTGAACTGCTTACAGCTGCTATAGTCCTACAATAGAACACACTTAGTGGTTAGCAATTTGTTAAAAATTGTAGTGGAATTATTTTACCTTCTTAGACAGTGGCCCAACTTCCTCCCATGCTCTGCCACTGGTGACTCAGTCCTCACATCCTGTCTCTTCTTGGACATGCCCATCTTTTCTTACATTATCAGGCTACCTGGCTGCCCTGTAATCTTTAATTCTCCAGATGCAAGAAAAGCTATGATTTTGTACATTATTCAGCTTTCTCTTGTTGTTAGGGTGGAAGTGAAGTTCTTACTACCTTTCTACATCCTCCGCAGAGGCTGGAAGTCAAATCTGAGGATGCTGATTTAAATTTTTTTTTTAAGTTTTTCTCTGCTCTTTGTATTTCCTGCTCCTTTGGGGTCAGCTATTCCATTTAACTTGGACTTGTTTATACTGTTTTCCTCAAATATCTGATGATCCTTGGTTTTCCCTTCAAATCCATGAATAAGTGATTAGAATGATTAGTATAGGCAACTAGTGTAGGTTTCCTTTGAAGCTATAAAGACTTATTTACATGAAAGGCATCGTTCCTGGGTGCCAACTCAGCGTAAGTGGGTAGGTCCTGTTGACAATTAGGCTTTTCTTCAGAGTATATATGCCATACTGGAAGAAGGTAGTACTGTTACATTATTGACAACTGTCAATCTTAGGACTGGGTTACTCTAGGGCATTTCACTTCTAAGTAGAGCTGTCTTTATGTTTTCCCTCTAGGTCAATTGTAAAAGTCCACAGTCAGGCTCTGTTCCACCTTCTATGCCAAACCCTTGTCCCATGAAACCTAACCAGGTCAAGAATCCATTATGTTTAGAAAGCAGCTGGAGAAAGTATTACAGGAAGGGAGTCCAAATCCAAAGAAAAGAAAATGGACCAGTAGGCCCATCTCCCCTAATTACTGCTCCATCGTTCCTGATCTCTGTACTTGGAAACTCCAAGTTGAGGCCTCTGAGAGCTGTACCAGAAACCCCCACATCAGCCTCTTCCATTTTTGTGCCAGGTGGCAGTTTTTCTCTACTCTAGCTGATGCATCAAAACAATCCTATCTATACTGTGTCTTCGAGAGCTGTGTCAAAATCTTTGCTATTCCAATGGTGCCCTCTCTTACCTTTACCACCACCACTGTAACTTTACTATCGTATCAGTGGGTCAGAGGGAGGGAAAGCAAATGAATGCGCTTAGTTTACCATATTCCAAAATTGTTTTCTGGAATGTTTGGTCCTGTCCATTTACACACTAATGTTCCACTCTGTTAGGAAGATGGCCCCTGTGTTCAGCAAAAACTCAGGTCAGACACTTTAATTTTAATAGCCAAATGTCAATGCTGTCTCCCGTAAGTCTAATAGCTAAAGAATATGAATCTTGCTTCCATCAACAAAACACAACACAGACTCTTTGGGCCCTTTCTCACCAGAGACTTTGGCCTCAGACTGGATAATGGCCAGCTCCTGTCAAAATTACAGTTAAAACCAATAAACTGTCATTCTTCTGGGTTTTCTATATCATGTCAGATGACCAAAAAGCAATATACTTGAACTATTTTAGTTTCCTTCCCTGCAGACATGCTTTTTTTGAACTATGATTTATGATACTGCCCTTCTCAAGGGTTAAAAGATATTTCTTGCTGTAACTTTTGCAAAATTGCAATGACTATATTTCATTATGATGTTTAATACATTGCACATTCTTCCCAGAATTTAGTGCCAATAAATTGTTTTCTCCCTAAAGAATGGATCTACTTCCTTATAACATGTAATGGGAAGCACTTGACTCCTTTCATAATTCTACACAATTGGCTTGATGGCTAACAATGTCATAGCTAATTTTAGTGCCTCAATACAATAGGTGGATCATATGGGAGGCAGTGTACTATATTGGAAAGCCCATGTCCTTAGGAATCAGAAAGATTTGGGCTAAAATCCTACCTATGAGTTTCATTTTCCTCATTTGTAAAATGGGGATAATTTCCCTTTTGTTCAACATTTGCATTCTCTCGACCTGCCCCCATGAAGCTCTAAGAGGGTACAGAAAATTATACAACCAGTCTGATTGATTTTACTTTAAAAATATAAGCACAGAGCACAAACAGGGACACTGTCCAGCAATCCTACTCCAGTTCCATCATTAGTTTGCTTTCCCTGTTTGCTTTCCCATTCTTGGAGCTGAGTACTCCACACATTCCCCTCAATCCCTCAACTCCTTCTGTAGAATATAATTGCCCCACCTCGTACTACCCTGAAATAATCGGATTCCTTCACAGTCCTACCCACTACCTGCCCCTGTGCCATTTTCTTAGCCTTCTCCTCCTGTTCAGTGGATAAGGCAAATAGCTTCATTTATATAAACTCTGAATTCCTTCTCATTCCAACCGATGTCACACTAGTCTCTTCCTGACAAATTATGTTCCAGCACAGTGGCGTCTTTTCTGTTCCAGTCTAAGCCCTTTCTATGTCCAGGTAGCCTTTTCACTTGCTGTTCCCTCTGTTTTTCCAGCAATTCTTATCTTTAAGGCTGAGCTCCTCAGGCAAACCTTTTCTGAGCAATCTCTATAAAAATGGTCTCCCACAATTATCTTGTATCACCACAGCTTGTTTATAGTACTTCTCACAACTTGATATTTATTTTCCTTGCTGGTTTCTTGTTTACGGTCTTATCCACTAGGTAGGTATCCAAAATTGGAAGTCACAATTAATTCTTCCTTTTTCTCTCTTTACCCCAATATCTACTTTTCCTCCAGCATTTGTCTTTGTTTAATCATCTGGCCAGTTGTCAAAACTAGAAATTGGAAACTATCCTAAATCTTTCTCTCTCTCTCTCCTCCAACCCACCAAGCCATTAACAGTAGAGTCTATCATCGAAATATTTCTTGAACCTACACATTCCCTCCTCCCTTTACATTCCCAATATGTTTCAGTTTTAATTATGGATTGCTTAGATTACTGTAATAACTCCCTAACAGTTCTCTATCCTCAACTCTTCAAAGAGAACTTTCTAAAACATATACCTTATCCCCATTCTTTACTGCAGTCATCAATACAGTCTCATCTACTTTTTGTCTTTGAGAAATTTGCTTATTTCAGTAGATCGCTAGACCTTTCAACAAGAACTTCCTTTATGATTAGGTCATTCTTTACCTCTTCTGCCTCTCCTACGAACCCTTACTTGAATGTGTCCTTAGTGGTAGCTTTACTGGAATTACCTGCAGTTCTCTAATCTACTTCCAGGCTTCTGTATAAACTGTTGCTTCTATCTGGAAAGTCTCACCTTCTCCCCCTAGGTATCCATCAGGTATTTTTCTAGACTCAGCCTAAGTGTCACCTCCTTTAACTGGTGTTGATTTTCAGATACTCATTCTCTGTGCTCCTATAACACCCTCCAAATATCTCTCTCATATATTTGTCACACCTGTCATTATGTTCCTAACATCTTACACAGTGCTGGGTTCGTTGTGGGTGTTCCATAAACGACGAATAAAGGACTTGACAACGGTGCATGTGCACACACACACTCAACGTTCTGTCTTCTGATCTCCTTTTATTTCTATGTTCAACTATTTAATCGTAAGCACTTTTTTTTTTTTTTGTAAATGTCACTTCCAATGCTTTTTGGAAGTGGAGAAAAAATGGTAATAAGACAAAACAAAAATCTGTCAGGTGGCTTTTTTCTGCCTATCTATACCTTCCATTGCAAAAGAGGGAGAATAAAATATGATAGTTTACCTTTCCTGCAATCCAGTTAAGACATTACAGGAATAAATCATTACAAATGTATGGAAACAGAATCATTCTGAAAAGAAAATCTGAGGTTTACTCAGCACCCACATTTGTCCTCCCCACTGCTAAGTTGTCTGTTTTCACATGCTGCATACAATGTAAACAGCTAAAAGTAAAGAAACTTTAATAGCATAAACCCCCCCACCAAAAAAAACTGGCCTCGGGTTTTGAAACTTTTGAAAGAAATTTTGAATAATTTTTAAGGAAATCTGCTTAGGAATTTCTGTCAGATGGCTATAAAAAAATCAGAACATATACACAGGCTAATAAAATTTAAATTCTCCCATTTCAAATAAATATATCTTGAATTATAAAATCTGTACGGTAATTTTTCAATTTGTGACCTTATGACATAAGAGAAGAAGATTGTTACATACTGCTTAACAATGTCTTTATAATTTCAAATAGAAATCTATGATCTTTTGGGGGTACCTGGGTGGCTCAGTCAGTTAAGCATCTGAATTCAGCTCAGGTCATGATCTCATGGTTCATGGGTTCCAGTCCCACATTGGGCTCTGTGCTGAGAGTGTGGAGATTGCTTGGGATCCTCTCTCTACCTCTATTTCTGCTCCTACCCCACTTGCACGCTCTCTCTCTCTCAAAATAAATACATAAACTTAGAAATAAAGGGAAATCTATGACCTTTTAATAGAAACTAAGGCACCACTTTAAATATACTGTGTCATTTTTCTTTTATGAGAAAAGAGCACAATAATTTACTGACTAAAGAGAAGCTAATTAAATAGAACTAGATACATAGTTCATCTTACTCAAATTTATTACAAAATGACAATAAAGAATGATCATAATTGATGGGAACTTCATATAAAATATTTCTTATTTTGGTAATAAAGCATCAAAACTTTCTATTTATTGAAATTACTAAGAGGATTTTTTTCCCTAAATCTAAGCAATGAAATCTGACATAGTTGACTTCTACATATGACGTTGCTAAAAGAAGGTTTGTTTTTGCTCTTGCTTATCAAAATGAATTGAAGATCTTTGAAACAGAAGCTCCCACCACATGTCTTTCCACTTAATAAACAATATCTATAGACACGCTTGGGGTCACAGAATCTCTCTCTCTCTCTTTTTTGGCATTTTTCATTGCTGGGAAATCTATTGCTGTCATCAAACTTTGAAAAATAAAGAGATTCATAAAAAAGGTGAACAGATTCCCATCCTTTTTGTCAATCCTCTTCTTCTGAGATAACTAGAATTTTAGAGCTGTAAGAAATCTGGACTGTATAATTAAAAATTTTTTGTTTGTGAGGACAAACTGAGAGAATGGCAGATCTTTAATCCAAATCTCTTAATTAACATGCAACCAAATCAAAGACATCTTTGGGAAAAATTCACTTCACCCATCAAATGATAAAAAGGAATATAACAGAACAAAGTTCTTCATCTAATAGTCCACAGGCCAATGGAAAACTAGCAAACCATCAGTCAATTTACTGTTGGACACATATTAGAGAAAGCAACAATATTTTGTTTAATGGAAACAAGACAGGTATTGGGTCAGAGAAACCTAAATTGTATTTGGATCTGTTACTTATTTGTGACAAATGTCTCTGAGCCCCAATTATTCTCATTTGGAAAAAGGGGGTAAAATAATGACCTCTTAGGACTATTTTAAGAAGTAAATATATACCATAAGCGAAACATCTGGCATGTTACAGGATTCCAATAACAGTTAACTGCTGGGGGCGCCTGGGTGGCTCAGTCTGTTAAGTCTCCGACTCTAGATTTCAGCTCAGGTTATGATCTCACAGTTTGTGAGTTCGAGCCCCACACTGGGCTCCATGCTAGCAGTGTGGAACCTGACTGGAACACTCTCTCTCTCTCTCTATCTCTCTCTCTCTCTCTCTCTCTCTCTCTCTCTCTCTCTCTCTCTCTCTCTCTCTCCCTACCTCCCTCCACCCCCTCTGCCCCTCCCCAGCTTGCTCGCTCTCTTTCTCTCTCAAAGTAAATAAACAAACTTTTAAAAAAAGGTTGACTGCCGTATAGGATTTATGTAGGATTCAAATGAAAGTATTTTGCAAGGTTGTAGATAATATGGAATAGAGACAAAAGCACAAAATTTAGAGGCAAAAGGTCTGGGTCCACATCCCAACTTTGCTCCTAACTATCTGTTCATACCTGGCGAAGTCACTTATCATAATCTTAGTATCTCATACATAAAATGAAGATAAAAATGAAGATAACAATATCTGCCATACTTTGAAGATCGAATATGATGATCTTTGTGCAAGCATTTTCTAAGTATAAAGTACTACATATACATTACTGTTATTCTCAAGAAAACTAACTGCATTAAAAAGTAGCTTCTTCCTGGGGTGCCCGGGTGGTTCAGTTGGTAAGTGTCTGACTTCAGCTCAGGACATGATCTCACGGTTCATGAATTCAGGCCCCGTGTTGGGCTCTGTGCTGACAGCTCAGAGCCAGGAGCCTGCTTCGGATTCTGTGCCCGCCCCCCGTTCTGCACCTCCCCTCTCTGTCCCTCCCCCACTCGTGCTCTGTTTCGCTCTCAAAATGAAAAAACATTAAAAAAAAATTTTTTTTAAAGTAGCTTCTTCCTACAAAGCTTAGAGAACTCTGCTTTTATAAAGTTAATATGACTTCCCAGGCACCACTGAAGAGTTCCTAGATTTTATCAACATTTATAAAACGTGTTTAGGTTATGCTAAACACATTTCCTTAAGACCAATGTTTCATAACATTTTCTAAACCAAATTTCAAGCAAACTAACTTAGATAGAGTGTTGCTTCTCCAAGATTTGGGGGTTGCGTTAGGGCTACAGATTGTGTAAACCAACATATAATTAATTAATGGGAAGGTTATTTGGCTTGAGACACTAATGAGGGGAAATCTGTTTTTTACTAACATCGTAAGTTACCAGTATCTGCCAACAATGAAAATGCATACATTAATAAACATTAATACTGAAAATATCAGCTCATGGCCCAGCTGGAAGTTGCCGTAGACAAGCTGGGAACCACTGCCTTGGAGGTGTGGGAAGGGGAAATTTATAGGTGTGGAGTAACGAGGCCCCTCAGAGTAGGCGGCCACTCAGCAAGTCAGCAGCATGGATAGAAATGATCTTTTTGCCTCTTCCCAAAAAATCATACTGATGCAATAAATTTTTATAAACAAAAATATATATAATAGGCACCTGTTTTTTTTCCAAATGTTTATACAAATTAATCCCTATGGCACTATTATGAGCCACTATCCTGACTCCACACATGTGTAAAAAGATACAGAAGTTAACTAATTCCTTTATGATCATTCAGAAGAATCAGTAGCAAAGATTAAATATCATATATTACTGACTTTGTATCCTAACTGAGCCCTTGGGCTGAGAACCCAGTGCCTAAATAAGCACCAAGTTTCAAAGAGAAGTTATCATGTGGAAGATGCCACTAGTAATATTCATATTAGCAAATCATCTCACAAATGGCTAGCAAACATGCTAAATCAAAGCTGCAAGCACGGGTGACAAATACATCTTTACCCTTCACGTTGCCAATACCAGTGACTCAGGTACTTCTAAATATTTTAACTTGGCTCGAGAATCATTAAATAGTACATTCAACGTAAGTACACGAGAATATAGTTCAACACAAATGTTCTTTCGACAGACAAGAAAAAGTAGGTTTCTGGTTACCTGGCACCATCATTATGAAGAACAGGGGTCCCCAACAAGTAGAACAAGATCTACTGGTACATAAATCTGGTTATCTATATCCAGCCAACCCTTCTTTCCAACTACCCCAGTGCTGACCACCACAGTCTATAGAGATACCCAACGGCAGAAAAGCAGCACACTTTCTCCTGCTTATGTTTAAGACCAAAGGGTCAATGTTAGATCCTAATAATTCTAAGATTTCAATGATTCTAAGAGTTCAGAAGAATATTTATCTCAAAAACATGTATAAAAGTGGGAGAAAAGCTACTGAGGTACAAAGTCAATGTTAAATATCAACAATTCTGACCCATCTTGGCAAATATATATTTAACTTTGAGCATTTCCATCCTTTCTTTCCACAATAAAATGGAGATGTAAGAATGTGCTAGTTCTGGGGCACCTGGGTGGTTCAGTCGGTTAAGCATCTGACTTCGGCTCAAGTCATGATCTCACAGTTCATGAGCTCAAGCCCTGCGTTGGGCCCTGTGCTAACAGCTCAGAGCCTAGAGCCTGCTTTGGATTCTGTCTCCCTCTCTCTCTGCCCTTCCCCTGCTTGCACGCTGTCTCTCTTTGTCTCTCAAAAATGAACAAATGTTAAAAACAAATAAATAAAACGAATGTGTTAATTCTGACTTGACTGCCAGAATTAAAACACTAGAATAGATACCTACAAAATCCTATAATCTCCCTTTGCTGCAGAGTTAGTGACCAGTAACTCTGAACACAGGCTCCACTATAACTTGCTATGTGGCTTTGGGCAAATCACTTAACCTCTCTGAGACTCAGTTTCCTCATCTGTAAACCAGATAATAAAATATATTCATTATTAGGAGGAGAATAGTAATACCCTTAATACATAAGACTATACATAAAAACCAAAGGAGATAAAAAAAACCACGAGACACTGCTTTGCAGTAATGAGTAGTCTATAAATATGAGCAATTATTCTCACACTCAGTCTTTTAAATGGGATAGAAACCACTGTTTGTAAGTTCACCCGTTTAAAGGCTGATAACACACTTCCTGGGACTTCACTCTATCATTATAAGAAGAAAAAACACAGTTGGGAAGATAATAGAAGAACTAGATCTCCCTATCCTTTTAGATAGAATATTTATTCTATCATAGGATTTATACATCATACTTCTGGTAAAATGTAGCATTACACAGTGAACAAGAGTTTTGGAATCGATAGATTTTAATCCTGACATCACCTGTCATAAGCTGTGTGAACTTAAGCAAGGTATTTAATGTCTCTGACCCTGACCTAGGGTTTCCTCAACTGTAAAGTGTCAATAATCATAGTACTTACCTCATAGAGCTATTGTGGTGATTAAATCACATCATATCTATATAGTGATAAGTCTGGTAACTGAAACATTACAGCTATCAATAAAAGGCAAACACCCTGAACCCCTCCTAAAACCTGACAGTGTTTTCATTTTAAAAATTGATGATCTTAAAAAACATATGCAGAAACACATGCTATAGGTGGTAGGCAATTTTAGAATAATAAAAATTCCAAAGCACCAAAAGAAACGTGCCTTTTCACAGAAGAGGAGACCTCCTAAAGCAGCTCTTGTCTGTACACAACTGTCTATTTATTTGGAGTCATTCAACAGAGACTCCAAGAAATGGACTTTGCTCACAATATCTCATGACTTTAAGTGGCATTATCACATCGGACTCTGAGGTCTAAAGGCTGATATGCAAGCTGTGTCGGGAGTGCAGACAGTTTTAGCAATCACTGCCAAACAATATACAGTGGTTTTTTTCTACAGTGTTTCGCATGAGAGTATTGGTTGTTCCAAACGAATGCTAAGCTAGATGCTATGCAAGTCTTTATCCTTTAGCAATGATGCCCATGACACTAGACTGATAACCATGACTATGATTCATTCACTCAACAAATATTTATTCAATGCTTACTGCATCCCAAGCACGGTACCATGCCCCAAGAATATAAGAGTATTTAATACAGTACTTGGGCAATTCTTCCCTCAGAGATCTGACCGTCTAGAAGGAGGGGGGAAAATGAACAATTAGAATGCTATAATGGAAAAACACAGGATGCAATGGAAACACACAGTAGTATGTCTAATAGAGGTAAGAGGAGAAAGGAAAGACAGCCAGTGAAAAATTTCTCAGAAAAAGTAACATTTTGGTGTTTTTTTTATTGTTATTTTTTGTGGGGGTTTTTGAGAGAGAGAGAGAGAGAGAGAGAGAGCATGCATGAGCTGGGGAGAGGGGCAGAGAGAGAGAGAGAGAGAGAGAGAAAATGTCAATGGGGCTCCATCCCAGGACACTGGGATCACAACCTGAGCCAAAATCAAGAGTTGGACACACAACCAACTGAGCCGCCTCGACATCCCATTAACATTTAAACAGAGGCTTAAATAAGAGCAAGACAGACTGAAACATATTGAAGAAACTA